ACAACAAAATATCACAATTATTTTATTATTATTTTAAAAATTAAAATTTAATACAGTAGAGAAATATTATTTTTTAAACAATAATGTTTTTTTAAATATATGTTTAAAGACTTTTTCAATGACATTTAAATTGATTTTTGGTACACAAACGGATTTATTTTAACTGAAAGTGTATTAAAAAGAAATGAAGCAATGACAGTGTCAATTGTCAGAAGTCTTTCAAATATTATTTCGCACTTTGCCGCGTAATAAACAAGTCCTGTTCGTGACAAGACTTCCGACGATAAAGTTACGACGAGCGTTAACAAGAAATGCAATACGTATTGCCGCGAAGACAGGATGCAAGATGAGAGGCAAATGCGACGCTGTTGCATTTACGAGCGGCTCGTAAAATTCGAGCGTGGAAACCAAAAATCGAGAACGCGCTTTTCGACCACTTTCGAAGGTTGATAATACCTCTTTGAGAGTGAAACCATGCCAGTTAATTGAGAAGATGCGACAAAAAAAAAGAAGGAAGTATCAATTCCACGAGAACAGAGAGGGCGAGAAACGAGAGTTTGGCTAACGTCTTTAATAGCCTTTCCAAACGTTAAAAAGAATTGTTGAATTAAACGAAACCGTGTAATTTGTCGGTCAGTTTGGTAAGGCTCTCAATGTAATTGTCCATACCGCGTGGCAGTCGTTCGCCAGAAGAAAGATTCGAGGGCACGTCGTAATACGCTTTGAGAATCCGCATCGAAGAGGCCGTCGAGAAGTAACGAGAAAGAAGAAGAGGGTACAAGTGCGAACATGTGTCAGACGGCAGCGCGGCACGCCGCCGAAAAGAGCGGTCCTCGAGGACATAAACGATATGACTTACGGCTTTGCCGTGAAGGCAGAACCGTATACCGTGAAGAAGTCCGGTCACGAGCGTTTTCGCCGTCACATCGGCGGAATTTAATGCAAACTGTCACACGTTACAGCACATTATACCTCGTTAAAGGCGGCGTTGATGCGTACGCCGTTGAGGTGTACGGCCGGCGTTGCGTGTCCGCTCAAAATAGGAGACAATATTCCCCGATTTCTTCTCTAAAAACCGCTCGCTATCGCACGCGAAAGTTACGAGAGGGCTCCACGCGTGAGCGCGACGCGCAAAGTACCGTATTCCCGTCACGCGTTCTCAGCTATATGCGGCTGTTGGAGCTATATGCGATCTCGCGTTGGCATTGAACGCAATTCCCGCATATTAAGAGCGCAGACCTCGGAATCATAACAGTTGCATTTAACGTTCCACGGAACAATGTCACTGTCAAGAATACACATATGCAGGAGGAAGATCTAAACGTACAAACGTAGAAAATTATCGCTAAAAATGAGAGGCTTAGGATACTTATAAATACATTTTATTATTTAAGAATTGTCAATCGATCCCCCTAAAATGTATAAAAATCAAATATTGATCGTAAGAAAGATTAGGCGACGAATAAGCTTCGACCTAATAATATACTTAGGAAATCAGGACGATCTCTTGGTCCGGATTTAGATCGCGGACTTTCACAATGATGCATAATAAGAGCACCGGTGAACTACAAAGCGTCTTTGGGTCGTGGCTCTGTGTGACCATCTAAGATACGAGTTCCACAAACTAGAAAATACCGATCAAAATGAGAAGAGTCGGCACCGAGGGTCCGCGTGCTATTTTTACGGGATACTCGTGCGATGGGATCTTATTAACATACAATAAGGACATAATTCTCTGGTACTTCTCCTGGACGCAAGCTGCCGCAGCTGCTAGGTTCTCTTGTTGCCTCTCTTCATCCCCCCGGAATTCTATGAACCACGAACAAAGGAACTTTAACAATTTCGCGAATTGTCAAAAAAACATTTACACAATTTATCGAAATATGAGCAATGTTTGAAGAATTTAGATCAACTAGAAAAAAAGAATGGAAAACTAAATAAATATACCATAAAAAATTTTATCTCTTTAAT